TAGAGTATAGAGAGCCCTCTGTTACCGATCCTCACTTTCTTTGATCATTATCTGATCGTCTGCAAATAATAAAGTATTTAGAGTGGTTTCGGAGCTTATCGTGATGCTATCTGTATTAATCGGTTTCCATTCTCTCGGAACGTCTATGCGTGAAATATGGGCTTTTTTAAGCAATTGTCTTCTCAAAAACGGTTCTATATTTTTTTCTATTTTTTCTCAAAGCTAATTACGCGCATTAAAAATGGCACTCGTGCCTATTTCGCCGAACTCTGTATTTTCGAAAGTAGCAAAATGTAGCGTTGCACAACTGTAGTTTTGATAAGAGTTTTTCCTTCATATAATCTGTTCTAAAAAATGTATTTAAATAAGGTGATGTACAATTTTTTGAAAATTCGAGTTGTTTTCGGTTAATTTTATTTTGAAGTATAGACTATTTATATACCAAATTTCTTCGGATAGAACAAAAGACGATTAAATAATGACGTAGGTCTCATTTTTGTTAAACACACTGGATATTCGAAAACGGCAAAAGTTCCAAATAATGCGAAAACGTATGTGCTATTGGAACATCTAGTTTAGTCTACCGCGTACACCTAAACTTCAATAAATTAATTAATAATGTGATTGAGACTAACTTTATTCGAAATTTCAATAACTTCATTTGATTTCCGCCCTAATGTTTTCGAGCCAGAGATGTCACCTATGATGAAGGTGGCGTGTCGGTCAGAGGACGCGGCTAGACTGGGCACGTCATGTCCTAGAGAGGCTAGCGCTGCCTCGCAGGTGAAGAAGGTATTCGATGTGTGTTGCGATAGCTATTGTTCCTCTGTGATACTTCTCCATAGTTGCGCCCGCGACGTGTGTGACAATCTGCGAATCAGTACGTTGACGCATGCGCCGGAACGTAGAGGAATGCGATGCCTGTAGTTGCTCGGCCCTTGGTAGACCTCATGATTTATTGCAGGCACGCGTAATTAAATGTACGCTTGAAAAATATGATTGTGTAAAGTGTGGGCTTTTTCTATAATCAGTGTCAAACGAAATAACACCTACGTATATTGTGTGCGTGATGAAAATTTCTTGTAAATTGAAATTTGAAAAGTAAAAGTAATTTCTTTGCGTGTAAGAGAGAATGCGGTTGTGTAAATAATACTCTGGATGTGAAAGGAAATTCCTGGAATCTTGTAAACTCGGTTCACTAGGGGAAGGGTTCCCAAGATTTTAATTGAATACATAAGCTTTCAGTGCACTTTTTATGGGTATTTATGTATTTTTATTGTCATAATTTTTTTCATGTAAATTTCGATTTACTCGTAAATTTTCAATATTAACTTTTTGCTCTTATTTAAATTATTAATAATCAAACGACATTGGAGAGGGAAGGGCAAGGGAAGAAACAAAGGTACAATAGTTAATTATACGTATTATTTTTAGACCAGTGAAGGCAGTTTCTGAATTGTATGTATCGAACGTCTAAAAGAGTGTTGTTGATTACAATAACTGTGTATGATGTTTCTAATGTTTGGAAATAATATGGCACTGCTCACGGAGAAATTATTAAACTTCTGACTAAAGATAATGTAAAGCCGACTACTTGTTATTCAGAAAAAAATCCTAAAACATTACTACAAATAACAAAAATACAAGAAACAGAATATGATCGCAGTGCTTGTTTTGCATACTTGAAGGACACGCCAGTCATATTGAATGCACCGCGTAACACGAGCAGACGATATTTGAAGAAGAAAATAGGAAAAAGAGAGGGAGGATGTAACGCCGAGCGTTGGAAAGTTAGAGAGACTCATTCGCCCGGAAGCGGAGAAGCCTAGAACCTGCCCGCCCCGCTTTTTTGCAGCCTCGAAAGAAGTGAGTGAGGCGAGTGGAGGTGGGTGGCGGCGCTTGGGCCCTATGCACTAGGCGCGCAGCGAGGAGCCTCGACTTTCTACTGTTGCATCGACAGCGAGCGATTTAACAGGGTGGGTTTTTACTGCCTATGCTGAGACATCGTTAAAGTACGCTGCAAAAAACGTAATATCTTTAGGATTTAATAGGACATAACAAAATAAAAATACAGTAAAATCTGTCTAACTTGGAATTGATCGGGACAAAACCAATTTCTGGTTTAGGGAAGTTTCCGCTTTATGCAGGGTTGTCTATTTTATGACACTTGCAATATTGATATTTCCATCATGAAACCAGTACATTGCATAACTTAATTATCATTAACATTAACATAGTATGATTGGGAAAAAACTAGAACTGTATAAGTGACATTTTATAAATTTTGAGAAAACGTGTTTATTTTAGGTTATATTTCAGTGGCAATGTTTTTTCGTGGTTTTAATTGTGGAATTGGCAAATTTCATTTCATGTGTTCAAAGTGTTTCATTGTTTGGATTTTTGCCGAAATCATGGGTACCTAACGAAATTATAGACACATTGCACATGGACGGTGACTGCCGTATTTTTCTTTTACTTTTTCCGCGCATTGGAAATGAGTAATGCAGATTTAATTAATGGGACAATATTTCCCAGACCTTTAGCGATTATATTGTAGAATCCCGGTGTCTCTGATTCATAAGCAACTACTTCGCTCCTCGTTTCCGGAAGTGATCTAGTTTGCTAATGCGCGCCGCGCTCATTGACAGTCGAGTCCGCGCCGGGGCTCCGTCTCGGGGCGGCAGTGGGAGTGGCGGGGGCGGATGGGGTCGATGACCTTGAGCGCCTTCCTGCGCCGCGTCACGCCGTTCCGCGCCGGTTCCGCTTCATCTGCGCTGGATCGCGGGCGCGAGGCGTGGGCACGGGCACGGGAGGGACGGGGACGGGGTTGAACGGGAGCGAGGAGACTTGCGCCACGGTTCCTTGCCTTGCCGGGCAGCGGTTTCGTTGCTCTCTGCTCACCTGCGTACCGAATTCCGATGCGAAGCGACTATGTGGAGGCCTGCTTCGGGCAACGCCGCTACCTCTTTAAATCGCATTTTTAGTGGTACGGTCTTTGTAATAGCATCCATTGATACATTCGGTATTGGGCATATAAATAAAATATTTATTTTACGAAAAATATACGCTCGTTTGTCGCTATCACAGTTGAGTTCTATCACGGTTTCACATAAGATGTCGTGCTTTTGTATTGCGGACGTCTGTTTTCGTCGTTGATCAGATACATCAATGTCACAATTTGAAAAGATGTGATTACTACTGTAAGATAAAGGAAGAGTCGATACGAAACCTTGAATAGAACTTGGAATGTTGCGTCCTGAAGTGGCGAGAGAGAGTGACATCATCGAAAGGGCGAACTTCGCAACTCATTGTGGGAGTCGGCTTGGCAGGATGTAGGGCAATGTGGACTTGTTATCTGTCTTGGGTGACGCACCGCGACGTGCCGGGTTGGGCTGGCGGTCGCCGCGCGCCGCGGCCGGGGCGAGGCTGCGCCGCGGAGCGTCGACCCGCTGGCAGCGGCCTGGAGAGGGAGCTGTGGCCGCGTGACGCCGCTCCGTGGCTTGCGCCGAGAGCTTTTCGCTCGCGCCTCGGGTTCCGATTGATACACACCACGGGCACCATCACAATCATATTATTTGGAAGGGGTGTCAGTTGAAAAGATAAGGTACAGATAAGAACGGAATCTCCTCTAGTATATCCCATGTACCGAACAAATGTTAGGAGGAAGGTTCCCCCCCCCGTTTGGTTACACCCTTGTGCACATGGGCTCACATGACGGTACCATATTTTTGAGATGCGCTTTATGCGAAACATAATTTAGTAACAAGGCCTAATAGTCATAAAGTATTCCTATAAATGCTAAGGAATTACTCCATTTTAGACTTTCCGAGCGTATTTCGCTTGCCAACAGAATATGTTGTGCCTGAGACTTCGTTTTCTAAATACGGGGCAGTGACGCGCACGTGGTCTACCTTGGCACCGAAGAAAAGGCGTGTTTCACTTGGTCTCGCTTAACCTCATTGCTTTGAGTTTTTCCGCACATTGGTCTGGAAAACTTCACTAGTGGGGCAGTTCAAAGCATTCAATAAGTGCCATTAATTTTTCCCCGCTATTATTTTTCGAAAGTACCCTGTGCGAGCTAATAGGCGCACGCGGAGTATTTCGAGTTATTGCAGAATAGGGATTTCGTTTCTTACTACCCAGGTATTGTAATGGCGTCGAAAAAGAATCAAATAGAAAACATAATTGCGTAGCGTGCGGCTAGAAGGCAGAGCCCCCCCCCCGCACGCAGGCGCGGCGGCACACAACACACACACACACACACACATACAACATTTTGGATGGGCTTATAGCCTCTATTACGAGTATTAAAACATTCAGTTGTAAATATGATCAATTTTATTTCCCCGTTAAGTTAACGATTTGATGAATTGATACAAACTTGCATTGGGATTCTTGAAACCATTGGCAAACTTGTAAATGTCACAACATAGAATCAGTATTTATTGCAGCATTAAAACTACAATTTCATTATGGTTGTATATTTAATTTATTCCCTAGTAAAATATTTCGTATGTAATAAAAATGTTTGATGGAAAAGGGGCCAAAAGGGGGCCAGAAATATGTTTCCCGCTCTCTGGTTTTAAGCAGCTCCCGTTAATGCATAATTGTGATGAACACTAAAGTTGAAAGCGTACTTAAAACCGTGTATCCATCATTAGGTGCTATAGACTGTGGCGTTGCCGGTGTGACAGCGGCAGATGAACGTATGTACAAGTATGGAGAAAAGTCAAGTCACGGATGTTGGTGTAAGGAGCATAATGATTTCGACGTGAAACTTAAATGTTGCTAGTTGAGATGTTGAAGTAAAAAAAAAAAAAAAGAAGAAGAAAAATGCACGTTTTGCCAGCGGGAATGCATTTTGAAATAGCTAATGAGCTGGAGCGTTATATAAGGCGTGGGCGTCGCGGGCGTGGCGTGGTGTGGCGTGGAGGGGGCGCGGTGCGGGCCGCACCGGCCGGTGGGCGCGGGTGGGGGCCGCGCGGTGGCCGGCACGGCGGGGCCGGCGGCGCGGCGGAGCGTTGCGGCGTCTTCAGTCGCGCGCCGCTTGCGCGAGAGGTGGAGCCGCCGTCGTTGCCTGCGCAGCCGCTGTTCAGCCGTCGGGTGATGTAAGCATCGGGACGCTGCCGCCGCCGCTGCTGCTGTTGCGTGCCGCACGCTGCGTCGCGCCGCTCTGCTGCCCCCTCGTGCATCTGCTGCTGCTGCTGCTGCTGCTTCTATTAGCGTTCGTGCGGTAGGGTTGTGCGTGGAGACGGCCCAGCGTCGGGCGCCTATCAGGGCGGGTGCGTTCTCGCACGTACACACGGCTCAGGAGGGAGGCCAAATATAGCTTTGTCGGTTCCTTTGTGCGGGATGAGAGGGAGTCATACAGAGTCGTAACTCAAAAAGATATACAGTCTGCTTTCGAATGAAGCGTTGCGCTGGCGCTCGCAATGGCAGGTGTTGGACTTCGGGACGTGGCAAGCGCGACTTGCAAACGGTGCAAAGAGATTTATCGTGGCTTGCATGCGCGCGCGGCTGCTCGAATGCGCTCAGGAGGCATGGAAGAAGAGAAGAGTCTCTTCGATAACCCTCGCGAGTTTGGACGACCTGCATTAAAACGGATGAGGCACAGCCCCTCCCGATCTTGGTCCCGCTCAACGGGAGGAGGGGCGCCCCGCGTTTCAATCACCATTCCAGTAAATGTCATCGCAGACGTTCAAATGGTTTTGATTTAAATGGTATGACGCAGAGGACCAGGCCTGCGTGCTCGGGCGGGGTGGGGCGCGGGGTGTCGGGGAGGGGCTGGGAGCGCCGGCTGCAGCGGTGACTCACCGTCGAAAGGGAAGGCGAACGGTGAATGCAAGCGTCGAAGGCGGCGCTAACTGGCCGGACCTGTTCTGCACCCGCGACCTGTTCTGCGCGCGCGCGCCTGTCGACGCAGAATGAAGCGCGCTGTATTTGGTTGTCGGCGTGTGGGAAAGTGGCCACTCATTGCTTTAATGTAGCGAGCGTCGTTGTGTAGATTAATTAACGCCGGTTGTGGGCTTCGGTTTTGAGTTGCGTTCCGGGGCGCGGCTTCGTCCCCGGAACGGTCCGTGCCTCACGCGAAGCTCCTCCGCGCCGTCACTGTCTGCCGTCCTTCCCTGGTATTTGACGAGGCGGAGGATACTCATTCACCTCCCGAGCTGTTGGGAATGATTTTTTTCCACTCTCGTATTGCTGCGTTGTACGTACGAGGCGAACTCTCAATACACAATTCATGAGCGCCGCCTGAGCAGGGGCGAATAACGGTTGCATTCCTGAGCGTGACCCCTTTAGCCTCTCCCTTCTCCCGCGGAGTTGCGTGTCGCGGGGCATCGGAGAGGGCTGCTTCGTTGCTGGTCGGGCATCTGCGTCACTGCCAGTTCTTGCAGAATATAGCGAGAGCTTAGTAGAGCAATATGGCAAGAACACAAGAATATTATTACGACTCATGTTTCATAATAAGTTAATACATTTTTCTACTCCATGTATTTTAACTGCATATGGGGTAAACATTGATAATTAAATTAAAAATGAAAACATTTCTTTATACTGGTGGAAAAGATACCATGACTTTACTCGGTATCGCTATCACTCAAAGTACACTGGTATCAATTACAGCGCACTAAGTAAAGCTACTTCTTAAAAAGTTTATCCATGTAGAACAGTCTCAAAGCGTCTAATGTGGAAATGTATACTACATTCGCAGTGAATTCGTGGACTCAGCCTGGCATGAGACCTCCACTCGACCGCTTCGTTATTTCTTTATTTCTAAAAATGTTTCCCCAAATCTGTTGAAAAACTTATGTGAATGATTCAGAAGGAGTTGCATTTAAAAGGATGCAGTCATAATAGTTATCGTGTGTTTGTCACGTCTCTGCCACACACTGAGACCGGAATTTTGAGACGTTCTCGTGGTTGTAGCTAGGATTCGTCAGTCTTTCTGTTTTCCGCACAATGATGTTGGGTTTTTATTTCATCTCCGTATCGGGTATTGGCCGTTCTCCATTATTATTTGATTGTCGTTCATTTGCTTATAAACGACGGCCGATCTTATGATAATTACCTATATTCAATAATTCAATTCAATTATATATGCAGGGAACCGGCGAAAGGGAGGGAGAATAATAATAACAATAACAACAAATAATAACAATAATATAATATAAACGTTTCCCCACCTGTACATAACGACCCCCCAGAAACATTATGTACACAATAAAATCATTTACATTTTTATATATTCGTACATAAGCTCCAGGCTCTTGGTCAGAAGCCTCGGGGAGCTGTGGTCCCTCGGTGCTCCGAGAGCGTCCTTGCAAAGGCACCAGAGAGCGACGTTGCAGAGCCGATGACTGGGCAAATCTAGCGGGTCCGCATCAGTAGAAGGGTTAGACGGCTGGTATGTGGTTAGGTGACTTGCGGGCGACCACAGAGATTTATTTGGCTGTTTTGGCGAGTTGTCTCCCAGGCCTTACAGTTTTCGTGGAAATGTCAAAATCACGCAAGCGATTATTGGGTGTAGGAGTAATCTATTGGAGCCCTAATCTCCCTGGAGCTCGTACTCTTGGGAGATAGGAAACTACCCACACGTTGTTGAATAATGGCGAGCTAGGAATGCCGGACTAGCGAACGGGGAAACCGAATGAGCGCTGGGCGGGGCCGACAAGGGCGGAGCGGGGCGAGGCTAGCGCTGTTTCCGCATAGAGAGAAAGCGAATGGGAAAGCGGGCATCGCACTCTGCTCCCCTCCTCTGCTCGTTGTAAAGTGCCCTCCAGTGCATATTCTGTACCTTTGACGAATCTGGAGAGCTAAAAGGCGTTTTAATCATGCTCGTGGCGTCACAGTTCTCATTCAGAAATCTCTACAAGAATACTTGCTCTTAGCATGCCATAAGCATTAGATGTCATTCATCGTTTTGCGAGTGGGTTTTTGAAGTGTAATTATCTAGAGGCTTCTCGTGGGACCGACGTTCAAGGTAGCAGGTAATTTCGTTTATTCACAATATTCCGAGCCGTTTTTTATACCAGAAGAAAGCAGATTTCGTATGAGCAATATGTTGCTCCTGTCATGTAGGAACGAGAATGTTTAGATGATGAGCGATTAAAGCGCCGAAGCCAGTCGTGTGTGGGTGTTGGTTGGAGGGGGTCGGGGACGGGAGGGAGAGGCGCTCGCGGCTCCTTGTAAGCTGCGAGGCAGGTTATGTCACGTGCGTATTTGCTCTTTACCAGAACTCTTCGTTTTTTCTTTGTGAGACCTTGCAGATATGTATGCGCTCAGTGAACCTGTTGGCTAGTCAGTGGGGCTAGGTCGTGCCGAGTGCCTCATTAGAAAATCAATGTGGTTTTCTGTCTTCTTCCTTCTTCTTTCGAAGAATACTCGTATGGGTGCGAGTGCTGACTGAGCACTCCTCTCGACGTGACGTCGCGCAGAATTTTTACCGGGGCCCCCGGTCCGATTGAACGCGTTTGCGCCTGGAAAAGACGTCATCTCCGCCCGTAGCTCCCTCGCGTTCCGGGCGCCGCAGCCCGCGCCGCCTCAAGGCCACACCGCCCCGTCCCCGCCCCCGCCTTAAGCCCCTGGGCGCATCCTGGCTTCGCGGCGCACGTCTGATGCTCCTCCAAGGCTCTGAAGGTCACGCCCCTACGTTGGCCTGGAAAGCTTAGGTTTTTGGGATGGTGGCTCTAAGGGTGATGTGGAAGCCGGGTCCTTCTAACGCCAGAAGGTGCGGTTCTGGCGCTGCCCGGGAACGAGTCTGAGGGCGGCGGTGGGTGAGGCGGCGAGTGTCCGGCCTCGCGAAGTGTGAAGGTGCGCCTTCGGCCCGTGCGCGCCATCGCTAGCGGACCCTCCGCCCCCTCCCCCTCCCCTTCCCCCGCCCGCGGCCTCGCGGAGGAGCTCCGGGGCGCTGATGTCAGGCGGCAGCGATGACGCCATCTCCGGGAATAGCGACGGCGGCGGCGGCCGGCTCTTGTGCTGCCTTTGCAGCCGCCGCCGCCCCGCTCCGCACCGCCCGCCCCGATGCACCGCTGCAGCGTCTCAGGGGCGCGCTCCTTTTCGCTCCTAATGCGAAGAAATAAAGTTGCGAGTTGCTGCGCGAGGCTTATGTAAGGCACACGTGTTACCGCACGAGATTGCCGACGGATGCGCGCAACACGCTTTCGCGATCTGACTCCTCGCCTGTGAAGACTGGGTTAAAAGGATGTTTTCACCACGCTCTTTTGACGGATAAACTAGGGAAGAATCTGTTATCAGCGGGAGCACGGGTTAGCACGTGTTCCCTTGCGCATTGACACCGAGGGGTCGCCCTTGTTAGACCATCAGAGAAAAATACTTCAGTGTTGGAAATTCTAGTGGTCTTTGAGAGAGAGTGCATTTTCTCTTCATTCGGTAACAATATTTACGTATTGATGTCCGCCGAAAGGAATCACAGAGGAAATTTGTGTCCACAAACAAATTTTACGTTTACTACTGGTCCGTAAGCCACTTGAAACAACCTAAAGAACTTTGTATTTGTGCGTAAAATTATAAAAACTCTATTCATAATGACTTCCATCTCTTGCCTCTCAACTTATAATAGCAATTTGTTCAAAAGTAGGTTATGTCTACGAAAATTTGCATCGGTTTCCAACTCGGAATAAAAAAATTGGGATGCACTTAACGGTATATTACATCGTAGTGCCAGTTAAAGAATTAAAAATTGAATTATTGCATTTCTGAATTTTAAGCATACGTGCATTAATTGTCTGAGAGAATATAATACGTAGAAAAAGTCAATGTAAACGTGGATATTTTGTTAAACTCAAAATAGGGAGGTTTGGGGGTGAGTCCTTCACCTGCATCTGTATTGAATCGATCCTAAAGGTGAATATAACCTTAGATGCGATACTTGAAATTGAAATGTAATTGAAGTTTAGTCCCACTATTCGGAATAACATGCATATTAGAATCATGCTCACCTAAATATATTCTTTGAATTTGCCGCGCGGAGGAAATGGCTGCCAGTTTTCGCCGACAGCAGTATAGTTCGGAATGCGTAATCTGGGAAGAAACTGACAGCGGCGCCAGGGATTTATTTTTAGAAATGGCGTTCTGCGCTGAATAATTG